TGGGATGAGGAATGACCAAATGCACTTCTGCAGAAGTGTCATGGAGACATATTTACCAAGCTTGAACTTCTTATGGACTTAATATTTTTCTAAATTCAACAACAAATGGAGTCTACCATCCATATGCTTAGAAGGAGAGAGAACTTGAAGGATGTTTAATTCCAAAGATCTTAGAGTCAGTCACATAAAAGCAACCTTCTTTTGTGTAGTTTAACAGTCGACGTGGTTTGGACAACTGCACCATACGGGCATAGGGGACTGTGTTGGAGTAATCTCAAGAGGAAGTCCTGTGCCCCTCCCCCATTCACACCTGCTTCCTTTTTCCTCAATAAGCTGCCTGTCCATAAGTGCACTTACTGTCAGCGCCTGTCCCTAGAGTCAGACCCTTCAGTCCCTCTTCGTTGGTTGTGGTCTAATGTAAGAAATGTATCTGTCACCTCAAAGGCCACAAAAGATGGCTTAGAAGGGCTCATAGATTCTTCTCCCCTCTACCTCTGTGACTACTCAACAGGGAATGGTCACTTTCCATCTTCCTCGTCTGTGACTCACTGCAGTGGATGAGTCTTCAAAGGGTGTGTGAGGGATAATCAGATTTTTGGGTTTTTTTTTCTTTTCTTTTTTAAAAATATTTATTTATTTATATCCCAAATGCTGCCCCCTCCCAGCCCCTCCCTCAGAATCCTCCCCTCATCCCATCCCCTTCTCCTCTGAGAGAGTGGGCTCCCCTGAGTATCCTCTGTCCCCCCTCCAACACATCAAGTCTCTGCTAGATTAGGCAGATCCTTTCCCACCGAGGGATAAGGCAGCCCTATTGGGGAAAGGATACCACAGTAAGGCTAGAGCTTTAGGGACCGCCCCTGCTCCAGTTGTTGGGGGATTCACATGGAGACTGAGCTGCATATCTGCTACATATGTGTCATATGCGGAGGGTCTCCTTCTAGCCTGTGGAACTACCTCAACATAGTTCTGAGCAGATTGAGAGAGAATTGCTATATCTAACCAGTGTTTCAGGAAACCTAAGTTTAGCAGAAAAGGCTAGTTGCTGTCCCAACCCCCTTCCTGTGTGTATGTGTGTGTATGTGTGTGTATGTGTGGTGCATGTGTGAAGGTCAGACACACATGACAATGTATCAGCTTACAGAGTCAGGTTCTTTCTTTCCACTGAGTGGGACTCAGGTTGTTAGGTTAGACAGCAAGTGGCTTTAACTGCTGTAACTCACCAGCCCAGTACAATTCTCTTTGAAATACATAATAATATTTAATTATTCATTTATCTGGATGAGTATTGGTTCAAACTGCCAATATGACAATGGCAGAGTAACTGAGGACTGCCCCCGAGCTGGAAGCTTTACCTTTTCTCAATACAGTGTGTATGTGTGGAAGTCAGAGAGAAACACTGGTGTTCTGTACTCAGAGACAGTGTATCTTTCATTACTTGAGGCTCATTAACTGATTTTCTAGGCTCCAGGGACCCTCCTACCTCTGCCTCTTAAGCACTGGGGCTACTCACATGGCTCTCCTGCTGGGCTTTCATGTGGTGATCAAACCAAGTTCTACTTGAGCAGCCTTCTCCTC